TTCGTTACATAGGCTTATATTCGCATGGGTAATTCTACATTCATATTTGAATGTGAAAATGGGTATAACTCATATTTGACAGCCCCTCCCCCCAACCCAACCCAACTATCCCCAATGTCTCTTGTGCTCACAGTGCATTGGGCTATAACTACAGTATTGTCAAAGCAACTAATATATACCTTTTTATCAATTAAAACTTCCTAATTAGTAATCGCGTCTGCTTTTTTTTCCACAGCGGCAAGGTTAGCACTTGCACAGGGCATCACATTATCAGTCAGTTCTGGCCCAGGAGCACCAGGCACAGAAACTAAGCCCATACAGGAGACTACTGCACCCAAGGTGAATGGGGACAGAGCAGAGTCTCCAGATAACAAGGACACCCCCATGGAGGTTGATAATGATGATTCAAAGGTAATAACAGTTGACAAATGAAAAGTATTTGTTCTTGTTTATCTTGCAGTTGGAAGTTGTGAAGCTGACTCATGTCATGTCGAGTTTGTGGATTGTTTAGTTTTTTTTTTTTTTTTACTTTGCCTTTACATTCTTTAATGATTGATATTTTTATGAGTGCTTTCAGGATGCAGATGCAGATGATCAAAAGAGCCAGCAGGACTTGAGCCGGCCAGTGTCCTCTCAGCCTGTGTCTGGAACCCCTTGGTGTGTTGTATGGACAGGAGATGGCAGGGTCTTTTACTACAACCCCACCACTAAGTAAGTTTTCTAAAATTCTTCCAGTTTTTGGGAGTATTTTAGAATTTTTATATGTAATTAAGTAGCTGTCTTTGTGTATAAAGCATTAGATTTGATACATATAACTATAAAAAGGTTCAGATGAAATATCCTGTGTACAAGATTATCTGTTGTATACAAATGTGTGTCAGGTGTAAAAATGGGTAATTTGTTCAGTATAAAATTTGCAGTAATATTTATTTTCACTTGGCAGATCTTACTCTTGTACAGAAGGGCCTGCCTTATTAAAACCTTGAATACACACAGTTCATTCATTTTTCATAACCTTTTTTTGTATTTTGTTTTAGAACCTCAGTCTGGGAGAAGCCACCAGATCTAATGGATCGACCTGATGTTGAGAAGATGGTGAACAATCCTCCTGCTGAGGTGGTCGGACTTAAGAACAAAGCTGAAGAACCCTCAAAAGATGAGCCTGCTACCAAGAAAGCACGCACTGATCAGACGCTCATAACCTCAGCTGTGGCCACTACTCAGCCAGCCATCATTAGTGTGAGTTGGAAAGAAAGAGTGTATGGGTGAATCAATGCAGAAGAGATTGTGAAGGAGTGTGAAAGCATGATGATGAAAAGGAAAATGTGGAAAGTACTGTGAGTGAGTTGGATGGTGTCTGCTTTTATTGAATGTTTTTGTTTTTGTTGTGTTGGGATTTGTTTCACAAAGAAAATTATTCATCTTGATTAAGTGTAGGGTTTTTGAACACCTTTCTTCTCATGATCATTGCAGCAAGTCAAAGAAGATGTGAAGCGTATAGACATTGGCAAGGAAGCTGCTATAGAGGCTGAGGTCAAGGCAGCCCGAGAGAGAGCAATAGTGCCACTTGAAATTCGCATGAAGCAGTTCCGAGACCTTCTGGCAGAAAAAGGGGTAAGGCTTTTGAGACCTTTTCCTCCAATAATTATGAGTGTTGTTATTATAAGCATTATTGCTATGATGGGAGGTATTGTAGACTATATAATTTTACTTGGCAAGTCACCTTGTAAAGCATATTTACTCATATGTCTTATACAAATATTCATAATATAAAAGATTACAATAGGTCATATTATGTAGAAGTGTTGTATATGTATTAGATGTGCAGGATCAGGATTCCTTACACAAGTTAAAATAGACAAGTAAAGGACTTTTCCTGCTGATGTCTACAGTATTAGACAGTAATATTGACAATGTTTTATTACTAGCCTTATTGATAAATGCATGTAAGAGGTTAAGTTGACATTCTGTGGGTTTTATTTTTCACTTTTTAACGAACATATTTAGAGACATTTGTGTCATTAATGAGTAAGTTTAGTGATCCACACTGCTTCAATACTAGGAAAGCTGTTGCTCTGTAGTGTGTTAGTGCTTGTTACTTTCAGGTTTCATAGTAAGATTTTAATACCAGTTTACAATGGTTGGTTTGATTACTGTTGATGTATGTTAAAGTTAATAAGTACTACAATTTTAGATTAAAACGTGAATAAAAACTATTAAGACAATTTAGACAGTGAGTAGCCAAGTAGGATTATGTATATTGTCTTGAATCCTGCTATAATGGCTTTGTATTATGAGTGCTATTGTACTTTTTTTAATTTATTTTTAGTTATTCTTCTAGTAAGATTTGTTTTTGGGAATGTGTTCTGTAGTGTGATGGTCAGTTCAGAGTCATTAGCGACGGGTGTCCCATAAATGAGACACCCAAAAAAAATTAACATTGCCGGGTGTCCCGCCAGTGTGACGCTGTATCGGGGCTTTGCTCCGATGCAGCAGTGGGCTGTGGCTATCGGGTGGACAGACTCTGGGGAAGCTCTGCCCGGAATATTTTATTTTTGGCTTCAAAATACCCCGGCGTGAATGGGTTAAGGGGACCGTCCCTGAGAATGGCCACCTTTCCCTACTCTATACATCATAAAAAAATATCGGTTAGAGATAACTGATTGATTCTTTTTGCATGCTATAGAGCAAAGAATTGCGCTTCGTTATATATATAAATTTTAACTTTGCTCTCCCATTGGGGGGGGCACCCCCAAAAAAGTTGAAAAAAATCGCTATTTTTTTTGGTATGTCTTCGGTACATCCCAACTATCAGAGCTCTTTACAGAATATTCCCCCAAAAATGCTAGTGTTAGATCAACTCTAGCCTATAGCCATGTAAAAGGCCGAATTTTGAATTTCCTTTTTTTTTTGGCGGGGGACAGCTTGACATAGAGAACTATTTTTGAATGCGTTTTTCAGCATTAAAATATTATTATTTTTTGATTAAGGCAAAAATTCAAAAATCGGCCTTTTACATGGCTATGGGACGCCGAGGCTCTAGTGAAAGCAACAAACTGCATTTGGATCGCATGAAAATTACGTGAGTTGGGAAGTACCGAAGATTCATAAAAAAATAGCCGAGCTACGGCGTTTTTGTATTTGGCACCTTGCCAAAGTTCGTTATCTCTGTTATTTTTCTCTGAATCTAATGATATTATATATCAAAAAAACGCTTATTTAGTGTACTTTGCAATGCAATGATTACCAAGTCAATAGGAATTTTCATGTTCAATAGGGACGCTATTCTGTAAAGGTATGTCACTTTTTTTTTTTTTTTTTTTTTTTTCGTTGTTCATAAAGTTGATATTTTCGTGTGAAAAGCTTAATAAATGCATTTTACCATAGAGACAACTAATCTAAACAGATAAAAACCTTTTTTTAAAAAAAATATTTTTTTTATTTCCATTTTATTTTTTTATTATTATTTTTTTTTTTGAAGAAATGGGGAACTGTGGATGGCCAACATTAGTACAAAATCATTCTAATTATAAAGTCCTGGCATGAATACAACATGGTGGTTCAATTTTGAGAATTTCAAAAGCATATGAATTTAGTACATTGAATTCGAGAACTTACGAAAGTCGTTGAATATTCCCCATGCCTCACACAGGGGGGGGGAGGGGGAGATGGTCACTGGGTGTTTTATAATTTTCGAGGAGGATCATATGTACGTGAACGCACGCACATAAAGTTAAAAAGATTAATCATCATCATTTAGTAGGCCTACATTGACTTTCATATCTAAATAATAAAATTTATTAGTTATCCCTCTCATACCCATTTTCTTTGATAATTGTCAATATTAGCAGATTGCAAGGGAGAACAAGTGTAAAGTTTATGATTAGCCATTTGCACCCATTATCTTTACTAAGAAGTGCATAAAATCATGCAGACGCCTATGTTGTTGTGGGATATTTGCCAATTTATGGTGCCTAAGACTTACGGTAACGTCTAAACATATTCATTTTTATCGGGAACGCACGAAACGGATGCGATACTTTTTTGAACGCCAGACGAAGACTACGCATACAACCGAGCTCAAAATTCCATATAGTTTTTATTTCAGAGCGGTATTACTGAGTACTATCATCTTCAACATGAAATAATCTGTATCTCGCTTATACATCCGAAGTTTAAAAATCCGACATTTAGGTAACATTCGTATTGAATTGGTCTTTACAACGGTAACTACCAATTTCAAATCAATTCAAATTGCCCCCTGCTGTGATGTACCAACCGTTGAGCGAAATGTAACGGAAATATTTCAATCCTTCCTTATAAGGCTATTTTTAAACATTAGTGCTTCGTATGTGATATACGTATATATTACCACGTAAACTAAAACATATTACCAGGGAGTCTCGATCAAAGCATATTTCGTGTGTAAAAGGACACAAAACATACATTTTTTTTTAGATATATTTCACAAAATATTTCGTCATAAATCACGGTGATATAATTTTTTCCTGATATTGGTATAAAAGTGTTCCTTGAACATTCACGAACTCATATCTATGCGCAATGTCATAATTAAATGCCTTATGCACGATTGCCGCAAGCAAAAGTCCACATAGGTGTACCTGGGCGCTCAATAGCGACGTACCTCTCCGGGTGCTGAGGGACTCGCACGCCGGCTGCAAGACAACGAGCCATAGCAGACGGTTAATACTCGTTTGGTAGTTTCCTCATCCATGTACCTATACTATACGCTAACTAACTCAATTTAACCCCCTCCTCCCCCCTCTCTCAGGGACGGTCCCCTTAAGGATTAAAACTTTCTTTTTCTGTAATAAGACATGATTTCTGGAAGTAAGATTTTTTGTATTTCACTAAATAGCAGTATGAATAAATGGCTAATATATTACGGCAGTTTTTGTTAACATTATCTTGTAAATTTGCAGGTATCGGCTTTCAGCTCCTGGGAAAAGGAACTCTCAAAGATAGTGTTTGACTCCCGATACCTTCTGCTCACGTCCAGAGAAAGGAAGCAGGTCTTCGAGAAGTAAGTCTATTTTGTTTTTCTCTTATATATTCATAGTTTATATTCCTTGTTTGTAAAGATGCATATTTGTATGTATGTGTACAATTTTTTTAAACATCATCCTGATCTTTATCCATTATTTATTCACTTGCACTTGTAATAAATAGAAGGATGAGGAGGAGTAGCACTAGTTTGAATAGTAATTGTAAAGGTATGGATGAGTTGATAAGCTTTTAACCAGAATGATGCATTCTAATCCCCTATCCCTCTCAGGTACGTAAAGGAGCGCGCAGAGGAGGAGAGGCGGGAAAAGCGTAATAAGCTGAAGGAGCGGAAGGAGGAGTTCCGGAAGCTGCTGGAGGAAGCAGGGCTCAATGGGAAGTCATCATTCAGCGACTTTGCAGCCAAGTATAGCAAGGACGACCGCTTCCGCAACATTGAGAAGATGCGAGAAAGGGAGAGCCTCTTTGATGAGTTCCTCCTTGAAGTGCGGCGCCGGGAGAAGGAGGAAAAGGCAGCTAAGCGTGAGCAGGTAAACCCCCCCTGTCCGGCAGGTTTCGGGGCCGCAAGAGTGGGCGGGGTGCACACACACAAGTCTGTCTCACATTTCTCATTCCCCTTGTTTCCCATCTATCCAGAAAAGCAACCCACAGATCAGTCCACCAATCCCTATCCTGTTGAGTGGCTTTTTAAGCCTTTCTTTAAGAGGATTTAGGTTTGAGCCTTAAAGACTTTGTATTCCAAATTTCAAGGTCATAGTCAGGTTTGTGCTATCATTAATCATAGTTTTTGATAACTTCATTGATAGAAGTGAACTTCCGTAAAGATGCTTTGTGATTTTAGTTCAGTTCATATATGCTTATATTAGATTATGAGGTGAAGGACAGATCTTTAAAGGAATTTATATTAATAAAGAACCTGATATTGCTCCCTCGATATTGAATTTATAAATGTCCAATTTCTTGTATTTGGAATGTAAAGAAATGTCCCTATAACTCAAGTAGTATACATCCCTTCTATTGCACAGCAGCTGAAACAGTTGGCCCCTCTACAGATGCAGCAGTTCAGTCTCTTCTCGACTTAAAACCACAAAATTGAGTTCCCCAATCTTTAAGGAAATGTGTATATTTATGGCACAGATCATCATTGGCCTTTAAGACCACTCAATAGCCAAGGACAATGCACCTATCCATGTTGATCAATGAATTAATAAGATTCTGTGTGTGTTGTGTGTGTGTGTGCACAAAAATGTTTATTAGGTGGGTGAGGGTTTTTTTATATCTTCATTTTTCCTTTTAAGAAAAGTTAAAGTAAAAGAAAAAAGAAAGAAAAAAAATCCAGATACCCTTTTGTTTTCATTATTTATGAATTTTTATTTTCTTTTTTTAGGAGAAAAGACTGGTATGCCTAGTTTTTCAGTTTTGTTCTAGATAAACATCACTTCACTTTTAAGCATTTGGCACATGATTCATTATGATTGCAATTTTACATTTCAGGCTTTTTAACCTAATTTCCAGAGCTAAGTGACTTTTTGTTGGTTGAAATGACAGTTAAGTTTGTACCCAAGTAAGATTTGACTGTTTAATATTAAGACAGAAAGAAATGAGTTTGGAAAAAATCAAATTGGTATAAATTTCTTTCTATAAGATATATCCAGTAATAGACTTGTATCATAATTACATATTACATTGTTCGTGCAAGTGATACATCAGATGTCATTTTAATAGTACATCATATACATATACATATTATTATTACTATTATTATCATTGTTATTATTATTACTATTACTATTTCTTCCTCCTCTTCCTTTTCTTCTTCTTCTTCCTCTCTTCCTTCCTCTCCTCTCCTCCTCTCCTCCTCTCTTCTCTCCTCCTCTCCTCCCTCCTTCCTCATCCTCTTCCTCCTCCTCCTCCTCCTCTCCCTCCTCCTCCCTCCTCCTCCTCCTCCCTCCTCCCTTCTCGCTTTCCACCCTTCCTCCTCTTCCTCCTCTTCCTCCCTCTTCACCCCCTCCCTCTCCCCCTCCCTTCTTCCCTCCTCCTTTCCACCTCTTCCTCCTCTTCCACCCTTTTCTCCCTCTTTCCACCCCCTCCCCGCGTCTCCTTCTCTTCCTCCTCCCTCCTCCTTCCTCTCCCTCTCTTCTTCCTCCTTTCCTCCTCGACCCCCTTCTCCTCTTAACCTTTTTCCACTTCTTCCCCATCCTCAACTTTTCTTTTCTTTCCATTTCCTTCCTTCTTAAACTGCTCCTCCTCTCTTCTAATTCTCCTTCGTCTACTTCTTCCCTCCTCTCTCCTATTTTGTTTCTTCAGCTTCTTCACTTATTATTGAACATTTGTGTAACATGAGTGTCAGTGATGAAATATAGCTTTAGCTACTATTTTCAAGTGATGCTTCTAGTATTTTACAAGCTTGTTAGGTTCAATGTTGCTTAGCTCAGAGATATGTTTATATGTATATACATCTTTTTTTAAGAATCC